CCTCCTGCTCGCCTCCGTGCGACGCTAACTCGGACGCTAGCTTTTCTTATACCAACACTATTCCCCGTTTTATTCCCCCCGCCCCAAGTTGCACAGTTTCCGTTGAAGACCCCCCGAGTCCTCAGCGTCTCCCACCGAGTTAGGGAAATCTGCCGCGCGCGCGGACCCCACGTGCGCTATGACGCCGGGTCTGCGTCCGGGCAGGCAGCGGTGAGGATGTCTCCAGGAGTGCTGGTCGTTCCCCTCCCGCAGGGCTCTGGTTCACCTTCTGGCCATTTCTTTCTAATCGCTTAACTTCTGCCACTGATTGTGGTGCTCGAGTGTGTGGATCTCATTAGGAAGAGTGGGTTGCTCGGCAATTAATTAAGAAAAGCTTGAGGCATTTTCCTTGTGCTTGTGTTCCTGCTGGTGATGTCCAGGTGTTGCCGATGTCTCCCTCCCCGGGAACTCCCAGTCTGGGGACGGAGCGAGTGAGGGAGCAGGAGACACCAGAGGGGGTTTCGGTACAAAGTGGCGATACGCTTTGCAGAGGCAGCGTTTTCCTTGAAGCAGAACATCATGTAGGAGCAAGCGGGGCTCGGAAGTGGCACCATCCAGCTCGGGGCAGGGGGGGGGGCTCCCCCGGGGCGGGGGAAAAAAACGCGGGAGTTGGATCCCTTGCGGTCCCCGCGGCCAGGGGATGCCAGCTGCAGCCTGGCCCTGCCGTCCCTGCCCGTCATATGATCTCCCCAAGCCCCGGCATGTGACTCCCCAAGCCCCATGCACTGGGAAAGACGGCGCTTGGAAAGTGGAGCGGAGCGGAAAGGCTGGAGAGGGGGAGGGCGGCTCGGCTAGAGGGGATCAGCGAGAACGGGCTGACACGGAAAGGGTTGGAGGGCGCTTGGGTCACACTTGTTGCAACAGCGAAGCGGGGCGGGGGGTGACTAAGCAAGGAAGGAGGGATGACCTCAGAGGTGACATTTAGGATCAAAGTGAGGCCGTCTGCGTATTTCGGAGAGGAAAACGCTGCAATCACCAGAGCAGGAGAGAGCAGAGAGCTGAGGAAAATCACTGACAATAAGACCGGAAAGAAAAGAACAACAAACCACATACTGTGATGATCAGCAAAGGTGCTAGAAGGGTGGCTACAGGCATTACCAGAGCTTGGGAAGAAGGGACTAGGTGTTCACGCTCGCAGCTTTTTGCATAGCATACCTTGGTGCATGTATTGGTGCTTCCCAGCCACCAACTGTCTGATGGCTGACCCTCCCGCATTCGTGGGGGAAACGGCTCGTTCCCCAGGCTTTGGAGCACATCTCCGCCTCGGTCCAGGGGTGACGACAGCCTGGTCCTGCCTGCTAGCAACGTTCCTGCTGCTGCCCCCCAGGCCGTCCCTCGCTCTCCGTGGTATCGCACAGCTTGCCAGCAGAGGAGTGCAGGCACAGAAGCCCTCTGGCTTCCCTGGAAGAGAAGGCTTGATTGCGGTTCATCAGTAGACCCAGAGGAGCTGTGGAAGAGCGCAGCCGTGGAGAGACAGAGCAAATGACAGCAGAGGAGGAGACTCTGATCCATTTTGGTTAGGACATGCGGTGTAACAAATGGATGAAGGTTGAGGCTGTGTTTCATGGTACAGAGTGCAATTAGCTTTAGAAGAAGCGTTGAGTAGGATGCACAGAATAGCTGGGGCTGGCAAGGACCTCTGGAGGGGGCCGGCTCAAGCAGGGTCACCTAGAGCAGATTGCCCAGGACCGTGTCCAGTTGGGTTTTGAATGTCTCCAAGGACTGGAGACTCCACAACCTCTCTGGGCAACCTGTTCCAGCGTCCAGTCACCCTCACAGTAGAAAGTT